GATGAACCAGTACCAAATGCCATTGATTCCCCTCCTTCCAGGCGAACCAGAAAAATGCCTGGGTGGTTGGAGGGGTATGAATTGTATTAGGTTAAAATTTGTACTTAATTTGACTTGTTCATTCCAGGAATGTAAAGCAGAAAGGGAAATGCAGCCCTGTGGGGCGAAAATGAAAACCATTAATGATCTAAATATTCACTATGTCCGGGACCATAGGCCTGTAGCCTGCAGGCAGGCGGGGTGTACTTTCGTGGCTGAAGGGACGGAGCGTTTGGCACTCCACACGTATGGAGTGCACGTATATAAAAGCTCCGCCCCTTTGAAATCCAACAAGAAGGTACCTGCTCGGCGCCGCCGTGGCTGCCGAGGAGGCAAATAGAAGAGGATGGGAAAGCTACGGGTAGCAACAGCCACTGTGCCCACTACTGCGCCTGACTTGTCCCAAGTTACTCCTGCTGATCAAACATCTGTGTCCAAATCTGTACCTCTGGTGACATATGTAAACCCGAAAACTCAACCTGCTGTCTCATCTGGCCCTCCAAGGATGCATGAGCCCTCTCCTGGACAATTGAAATCTGCTGACCTGTCTGAAAAATCTCCAGTACAGAGACAAGCTATATCTGAACAATATCAACCAAAATCCACCACTTGTAGCAGTACTGATATCATGACCTCACATCACAACCCAACAATGCCTAGAGATTCCCTCCTGGGGGAGGCCATGGGGCCAATGGAAGAAAGACTGATCTCACCCCATGGAGATTTTGAATTTCCAGGACTAAATTTGGGGTTGGGATCAAACTGGAATGAAGACCATCAGTTTTAAACATTCTTCATCAGTTAACATTATTACATGTACAGTGACTTGTTATTGTCTTGGACTGTTTACTTTTATACTTGTATTTGTATTTCTATATATCAAACATACAGTCCAGGGCGAGCAGATGGTCACTTTATTTTCTTAATTTTAAACTTTTGTGGAGCACCTCACTGAAGGTGCCGAGGTATTAATCAATTTTTTAAGCAGTGGCTCTTCTTTGAGGGGAGGAGTGTAGTAGTGGTTGGAAGACTGACTCGTGTACTCGAGTTTTACTCTCATTTGTCCTAAAAATCAATTGATCGAGTTGAAAACTTGAACTCGCGATTTGAAATGTTTACCAATTATTCACTCGTTTTCACCTTACCTTGACTCGCGATTCGTCTCTCCTATTCGCAATTTCCATGCTTATAGTTGTAATGTTCTGCTTATAATCTGTATAGAAAACAACTTATTTTCTATTTAATGCCATGTGCGGAAGACAAACATACTCGGATTTTATTCTGCGTTCGTTATTTTTATGCAAAAGTTTCATTTCCGGTTTGATGCATTCTGGGAATATCCAACAGCCGGGAATTTTAAAATATTTGTCTACCGCGGTGCATCCTGGAACTTTCTGGATTGACGAAGTTTGTTTTCACTATTTATTCTGTAAGTTTTACTATCTATAGGGGACTAGGGGTGAACTTTAGCGATCTATAGGAATGTGCAATACGATTTAGACAATAAAAAGTATAGAGGCACTTGAAAGACTTGATCAAATTGATGAATTCTGCCGCTACTTCGGAAACTGAAACCGGAAGTAACTCAACTAAGTCAAATCGCGATTATAATCGTGGTTTTTCATGGCCCACTCGAGTGGAGATTTTCAGGCGAGTCCGACCACTAGAGTGTAGCGACCCGGGGTTTATATATTACATTTCATTCCAGGGTTTAAACTTTTATTCTATTACTTTTCCCCGGGTACGCTGTTTTCCCTCTGCTCAAAGAGTGCCGCTCCAGGGTATAACTTTTTTATTGAATTTACCTCATATTTTGGGTTACTTATTGAATATTTTATTCAAATCATTGTATGTACAAACGTACTTTTAAATATTATTCTCATATTCTCCCTACCTATTTTGTGTCCTTAGCGGACGATCACGTGACAATAACATTTAGATCCTAAATTCTGCTAACGCCTTTGACAGTGCGCTCGATCCAACCAACCTGAAGACATCGTGGATTTCTAATATCAAGTGAATTAAATATTTCATTCAAGAATTTGGATATATTTGGGTATTTCGTAACGTGATCGTCCGTAATGGATCCCAAATGGCTTTGGGTAAGTGAATTATGATATGTGCGCTTTATGATCGCTGATTGTTAACTTCAAATTACAAACTTTTAAAAGAAAAACTTTGCGTTTTTCTGTTTAGCGCCAATTGTGGTCACTTTTTGGTAGTTTTGAAAGATGGCAGCACCTCCTTGAGACCCTATTAAGACCATTTGCCTGTTCTGGGAAGTTTATATTGAAGTACTTTTAACTCCCATATTATTCTATAGAGGGAGTTATTTACAATAAAAACATATCATTAATCAATGCTATCAATATTATATCACTGATTTCAATATCAATCAACACAGGATCGAATTTACGTTGCTAGACCGCCTGCATTTCACTCACGCTATCATCTGTTTGTTTTATTATTATTAAATATATACGGGTTGATATTCTTTCATCCCGTACGTGATAATTAGGTAATCGTAGCCCTAATTCATTACATTAGTAAATACCCGAGTAACTCTATGTATCCCTTGCGTAGCATAAAATATTTAAACCATATGAGTTATGGTAAAGGACGAGAAACTGTGATGAAAAAATTGACGATGTCTGATCAGCGGTGGGTTTATTTCTTGAATCGTACACTTTTACTTCGAACTGTTTTGTAACTTGGTGCCCCAATGGAAAACATACTCATGATTAGATGTAAGAACTGAAATATCAAAAAGTCTGTAGTATGTGTTTTCTTTTGGATTAATTCCAAAGAATGGTACCCTTTCTGCCTAAAATCCATTGATATTGCAAATGCATTTCTTGATTGTTTGTGAACTTAAAGGCAGAATCAGATCTACATGTATAGGGACTGACAAAATTGCAAGCAATATGTACAACTGACCTACCATTGTGTTCCTAACTTCCTTACAAGTTCATGTATAATATCTCCCAAAAGATCCGTGATGTGTTATTAATTGGTGAAGTTATTTAAAAGATTCAAAGTGCAAAAATGGGGGAGGGATCTCTAAATTCTCCCAAATAATAAGTATGGTAGCCATTCTAAAAGACAAATGATTGCGTTGTTATAAAAATCTTTAGTTTTCCTCAAATAAAATATATGTTTTGGGTATTTTTAGAAAATAGACACAGGCCTGTCAACTTGGGAACACCTAACACGAGTGACTTGGAAATGTTGAACACCTCCCGTCAAAATGTGGACACTTTGGTCCAAATCTGAAAAATTTCGAACGGAATGCGTGACATATACGTAATTCGCGTGAAAAGTCCGAACGAAATGCGTACGTTTTTTTCCGGCGTTCGTATTTTTGCTGTGTAGACGATCTTTTTTAGAAATTTTTTTTCAGAAATATTTTTGCTTGACAATTACCAGGTAAAATGCGTATTTGCGTGACATTTTCTGTCACGCAAAAATAACTGGCGTGACTTCAAATTCTTCAGCAAATGCGTGACAAATACGCAAATTGCGGGACAGTTGACAGGCCTGTAGACATGACAATGAATGGTATGAGCCCAAAACATTCTAAAATTGAAACAATATTCGTCAACATGTCAAGGTGAAGCAAAAAGGTAATTGCTAGATCCGATTCTGCCTTTAACTTTATCGTATTTGCAATTCTTTCTTCAATTCAAATCGCAATTCCAGTAGTATTTCGGAGACAATTACTCTTTAAGAGAGCAATGGCTTTGGTAAAACCAGTTATTTTCACCCTATACGAAGAGGTCGGACCATTTCAATAATACAGCATGGTCATATCCTGCATAGAACTGACTTGCAGTACATTTCATATACCTATCTACCAGTCTCCGAGCCTTTCGTCCAGAGCCATCCGTACCTCCTGTGCCTTACCTCATGCAGATCTTTAAATCCCCGCGAAATTTACCCTTCTAAATATTTTGACCTCCTTCAAAAAAAAGTATTTTTTGCGTTTGCTACTAATTTTATTCGTTATATTTTATAAAATGTTTATTTCTAATGTAGTAAGAATTCATTCGTAAGAAAAATATTGAGTAATTCGTAACAAATTGTTAAAATAAGTGAATACTACTCTCTCAGGAATTTGCAAGGACTTTCCGATCAGAAATTGTTTATTAACACCGTTGCTATGCAGTTCGTTTTGAAGTGACGTCATCTCCATATTCGTAATTTTCAACGTCTAATAAACGAATACCAAATGTCGATGAGATGTTTTAATCGATAAAATTGGATTTCTTACATATTCCTTTATCTTGTTCTTAGATAACAAGTTATGACATTGGTGAACTCGCCAGAAATCAACATAATATTATTTGAAGCGTTTTTGGAAAATTTTGACACCGCCATCTTGAAAACGTGTAGTAATGTTGAACCCAGTGATTATCGATCTTGACACTTTACAATTTGTTGTTCCGCGGAGATTTTTACCTAAAAACACATCAAATACAACATTGATTACCAATTTCGATGGTGAAATTATTTGTAAACGTTATGATTAATGGTATATCAAATTTTTGGAGTTGTTGATTTCGTAATAAAGAAAGTACTAATTTCTGAAGCTTTCTAAGATCGTGCCCCGGGAATTTTAGAACTATTTTAACAACGTCAGAGAGGTAGTGAAGGTACGCAACGAACGAAATGAATTTTGAGAATGCCTATCTACATGCACTTCTATACCGCAACGCTATTACTTCCGTCGCAAATCCAGTCGATTGGTCCATGGTGTGAAATAATAATCATATAGTACTACACAAATGCGATGTAGTACTATAATTCTTTTTTGATTTTTGTCACCGTTTCTCGTCCGTTACCGTATCAGTACAAATAAAATCTCAATATCACTCCAAAACCACTAGTACTAAACTAATCAATATAAACGCCAGGATTCTTATTCTAAATAAATATCATATATTTCCTACGTTTTTTCGAGTTGGATTAATCCTACCAAAATGGGCACTGCGATCAAAATGGCGATAATCGAACCGAATGCCAACATAAGACAATGTCTATCTTGAAGACCGAATAACCGAAGAGTATGGTTTGAATGCTCTTTCATTTGGTACCTTCGTTGTTTTATCACAATCGTGCTTTTGAAATGCTTGTGGTCGATCAAAATGATATTGTAAAGTTTGAAGCTGAAGCTCATAACCATTCATTATTATCATTGCTGATTCTGTGTCAATAATTTCTGGTATCGGTCCTATATATGGCTGGTATCGCCGTCTGTAGTTTCATTTAGTGCATTTCAAAATCCATTTATTTCATATCAGCTGCAAGTTGTTGCAGATTATGCCCACTTAAGTTCAAAACATTCAATTGCGATGGTCTTCTCTCATGATTGTTCTCTAGTGAATCCCTCAAATGTATTTCATTACTTGCCTGCAATGGAATTTCGTGACTTCCCTGACTCCCACTTACTGTAGTAGGCGTTCTCACACATGGTGTTTTAATTGATGACAATATGACATGTCTGGCCTGTTGGTTGAAGGTAATGAAAATCAAAGGGTTTACCAAAAGATTTGAAGTGAACAACAATCTAACCATATTGTTTCCGACTGATGTGAAAACCCTTGGATTGTTCTCGGGCATTGCCCAAAAAACGATCATTGTAGGCAGGTAGCATATGTTAAATGCGACGAAGATGATGATGAATTGCACAGAGAGCCACATTTCATTATGACTTATGTGGTTCCCTTGTCTCGTGTGATGTTCAATCCGCCGTCTGCTTTTTCTAACAAACACAAGAATCCTAGTGTAGTAAAATATAATTAAAATGTTTGGAATCACATACACTATAAGAGTAACTGTGATAGCAAAGGCGGGGTTTTCCGCCATTTTGAAACAGCATGCGCATATATTTCCCACGTTTTTGTCGAGTTGAATTAATCCTACCAAAATGGGCACTGCAATCAAAATGGCGATAACCCAAACGAATGCCAACATAAGACAAACTCTTCGCCGTGTGAAGAGGCGTTTGTCTGAAGCAACGTTTAACACACTGATGTAGCGATGTCTAGCAATGATAACCATAGACATAACAAGGGCAATTGGAGGAATGAAATCGATGAAACCGAGCCATCTGCAAGATTCTGGCGTGATCATCAATGTTATTTTCGTGTTGACGCCTTGAGTGAAGTCCTGGACAACCAAGAGGAAGGAGTTGACGCTTAGAAGAATTCCTGCGGCACAAAGGTTCACTACAAATATATTTGGGACAGTTCGGAGTCGTTTAATCGCTACTAGACAAATGATCAATGTAAGGTTGGATATGATACCTAAAATGAGGAATGCAGATTGTACGATTGAAAATCCGAATGTTACATTAGCATTTGGGTCAGTTGGAATACTGGTTGTATTTGTTGGCTGCGTAGATATATTAGCTGTTGAACTGGTCCGGTATTCCATACCATTGTCACCGATTACATTACGTAAATGATAAACGCAGGCACTTCCCAAATCCATAGTTCTGGTTCAACATATCCTTAATAATTTGATATCTCTCGGATCCTGTTTACAACATACTAAATTGCATGCTCGCTTTCTAGCATCATGTCGAAAAACTTGATTTAAATTTTTTCCTCAGTATCTGTAAGAAGGCAATTCGTTATAATTATTCAGCAGTGTCGCACATTTAATTCGAAATACATCATCCGTATTATCATCCTTGATATTGTAAAACTGTATCCATTTTACTTAAACTGGTTGAATTGGATCTGTATTATTTACTATTCAATGTATCGTATGTAATGGCAGTTACAACCTTGGCAACATTATCGGGGTTGGTTTTCCGCCAACTTCTCCAAGAAGAATTTTCATTTATAGAATTTTCATATTCTGAATAAGTGCCTTATTAAGGTGAAATATAACGTCTTGTATCAGTTCAAAACTAGTTTTATAATAAGGATCATGGTGCATTGTAATGAAATGTTTTGTTTGACGTCTTCGTGTAATGTCAAACATTCTTGATTTCTTTCTTAAATTCATTGATGCTTTTTTCTAATCATCAATTATTCGAAATACGTCCATGTCCAACTTCAAACAATCAAACAAACTAAAACTGTAAATTGAATTTCTTGATCTTTGTAGTAAATGTGATTTAATGCACGTTCGTACGTTAATAGCATTGGCCTAAATTGCAGAGATCGTGATATATGAATGACAGCTGGTAAGATGTAGATACCGTACGTTATCTATCCCTAAGATAATGCAACATTTGTTCAACACTCAAGTTGAGCTGTTTCTAATGGATATTTTAGAGACGTGGACACGAATAATTGCCATTATTTCTTCGTATCTATGATTGTATTTAATTTGATATGTCAGGGCCAGCTATGATACTCGATGTAATAAGTTATTTAATATCAAAGTTGCATAATGTATAAATTAATCTCACCTGGAAAATGGCAACTTTTACCTAAAGAGAGATTGTAATGTTTTTTAAAGTTCATATTGTGACAGAATTGATTATTTTAATACATATCAAATCATTAACAAAGAGATCAAACATGCAGTCAGGTCTGTTTTATATTGTGTGTTAATATTATTAACTTACATGTAATAATAAAACAAGTTATAGACTCCAACTTGTCTTCGAACAATGGGACAGATCGGAAAGATTTATCAGCTGACTGTGCTATCTTTCCTGTCTTTAGTGTCAATTGGAATTATACGTTTATTTCCAATCGAAACAGGAGAACCTAAGTACAAAGGTTTTGTTATTGATAATTTGAGGACGAACAGAGTTAAACGGGTGGGTAGTGAAACAAAATACAAGGATGTCATAGCAGAGGGCCCTTTTGCGAACTCAACCAAGAGATACATCAAAAAATGGCAAACGTACATGATCAACGTTTGTCCAAATTCTACAATGCACTCGGACACCGATATCGCGTTGGTGCCGTTTGGTCAGTATTTTAAACCATTTACATATATACTTCAAACTAGATTCTACTCAAGGCTATCTCGAATTCTTACAAAGCATTTTACAACTCGGGTGACAGCCATAGGGGTAACCAGTGAGTATCTCGGTATCTTCATGAACTGGCTTGCCATGGCAAGGATTTACGTTAAACCACCCATGAAGGATATATTAATCTACACCACAGATAAAATTGTATGTGATTTAATTACACGCAAAATGCTATCGCCATGCCTGGTTGTAAATGTTAATGATATTATAAAAAGCGATCAAACAATGGCGATCAATACAGACCCATTGATAGCGTCAAGACAAATTTTCTGGGTACTCCGAGCTTTGTTTTGGAGATTATGTAACTATTTAGGCTACGATGTCACTTCCGTTGACACGGATGCCATTCCCTTAAAGAACTTTGACAACCTTTTGGATGGCTATCCCAATCATGATATAGTTGGTCCAGTGACTGGGCGTTATCCATGGGGAGCAATGGTGGCCTGGGATTTCCATACCATAAATGCAGGTTCAATTATTTTAAGGGCAACCCTAAATAACAGTAAGTTTTCCACCGTAAATCCATTTCTCCGAACAGTAATGTTTTTTAGATTTATTTATCATTTATCACCATCTCGAAAAATATTAACTTTGGAGATCAATTTGTGAACGTAAGTTTTTAATGTTACTGATCTATTAATGCTACATTTTTTCCATTTCAGCTAATTTCTGGAACTTATTTTCTATAATCTCATCCAAATCAGACGCGAAACCTGATGACCAAGTAATGTTAAATCTTGTGCTCTATTGTCTGAACCTAAAATGGACACACGTATCAATTCCCTTGTTTTATAAACAAATGGACGACGGCGCTAAATCGAAGGAAGAACTTTACGTCAATAGACCCGTTGATGGTGAGACAAATGGTCCAGTTAAAGTGAAAGGACTTCCCGGATTGTTATTATGCAGATATTCATGCTCATTCACGAGAATACATAATTATTATATTTGGCACAAACCAAGTAGACTGAATCATAGTGATATTTGGATATTGAGAAATGATTGGAATATGAGCAGATATATTGACAATGATATCACTGGAGATAAATGGTTAGCTGAGATTATATTAGAAGGCCTCTGTAAGTACATTTTAGGGTTTAAATCCAAGGCACACAACACGTCTTGTCTCCTAGACTCATAGCACCAGATTAGACCAGATTTGTAGGAAATCGTCTTATTTTATTTTATTTGTAGCTGTTAGCACATTATGAAGTGTTGGACTGGTTACAGAACACCTTTGTGTTACTACGTTTAGTGTAGACCTCAGCTGAGATGAATCAGGTTCACATATTGATTTTAAAGTGGTTTTTGTCGTTAATAAATACTGTCTAAACATCGTCCGACTAATTTTTCATTTCAACACAATTAGGCTGTCATAAATCAGTTCGATTTAAATCGTGTTGAAAGTTGAAAATGTCACTATATGTGAACAAAGAGAAGTGTTATTTCTAAAATATGGTAACTTTTGTAAAAACTGTCAACGCACATTTTGGTATGTATGGAAAGGTTCATCTATGTTCATCTATTTTACTTAAATATTATTATATCTTTAAAGATATGACGCGTTAGCAATTTTATGTTTGTCTCAGCCCTTTTATTTGCGGCACTTTTACTTCGACATTTCAATCTATTCACATGAAAATACATTTACTTATCATTTTAATCTGACACATTTAGAATTGTTAATTATCATAATGATTAATTGAAATACTTTTTGGTACTAAATAAAATATAACAAATGCGTTTCCGTGACTTTCCCCATTTAGTTATTTTGTTATCCCGTCGAACTGGGGGATATAGAGATTGGCTCCGTCCGAAAGTACGTCTGTCCGTCTGGACAATAACTCAAATACTGCTGGCTCAATATCGTTTACATTTTTTATATGCCTCATGTGAGAACAAGTTCTGCACGAAAGGAAATTTTGAAAATGGCCGCCATTTAGTGTCAGTTTTACTTTAGGCTAAACATATAAAACTGTAATAAAAGTATATTTTAACAAGCAAAAATTATCTAGTGAAAATTTGGGCTGATATGAGCCATTTTCAAAATATGGCAGCCATGGCTGGTTTTAATCAAAGACACCAATGCAACGTACGTTCCAAAATAATAATTTAAAATCTGGAAATGCGTCGTTTTTAGTTGAATATGGCATATATTTCAGTATGATCATCATATATATCATATATTTGTAACCTGTTCAACTCATTACGTTGTAGTGTGACTAAACATTGTGAGTAGCTTTAACATACGAAGTCCATCGGTCCGTGTGTTGTTAATGTTTATACTGTTGATTATGTTCCTTTAGTTTGACACAAAGTGTAATGTTTATACGATTGTATATAGTATGTTCTATTGTCACTGCTCCAATGGAACCATGATCTGGTAAGGTTGTCAGAGAGCTGTTGGTCTGCCCTGTAATAATCAAAATAAAATATACTATTCATGATAGATGGCATGATGACCTAGTTTCATGTTAACACCCTGCGCACCTTCACTGCATGAATGAAGGTTGAAATTAGTGCAACTGAATTATGAATTAAAAACGTGTTAATGAATATACCAATACATCATTTCAAAGGCCAAAGGGGCTTAGATATCACTATGTACCTAAATAGAACGGGAAAAACGGGAAATTCATTTTTCAATAAGTATTTAAAAAATATCGAAATTTGTAAATTACTTCTTCAGTTTGGCATTTTAGATGACACGTTTTAAACGACCTCCATTCTGATCGATGCAAATTTTTTTTTCAAAGATAGAAAAATGGTTGATGATTTTCAAAGATGGAAAAATAGGTGATGGTATTAAAAAAGTTTTCTCTACAACTAAATTGAGATAGCTGATGATAAATTATCCATCAGATGGCCAAAACAAGAATGTCTTTTTATCACTTACAAAGTTATTTTATGTTTGTTTCGTTACAAACATGTTGTTTTGTTGAAATATGGGTGTTGACTCAAAAATAAGCTTTTCTCTAAAACTAAATGGAGTTAACCCCTGAAACGTTCATATAACCGAATCTTAGGAACAATCCTTTATCACTCAGCTATTTCATATTCATCTCGGTACAATCTTTTGGGACACCCTGTATATATGACATGCTTGCCAACAGTACATGTACTTACTCTTATGAGGGTCACCTGATTCCCGTATTCAGGTAATTGAAGTCGTCGCCTCACACCGTTCGCGGCACGTTGAAGATCTTCAACCAGGAGTTCAACCCTTCCTTCACCAAGCGCACGTCGAGCGTCTTCTGGTGAAGCATGGGTATGGCTGTTCTGTAACCAATGCTCCATTACATCCCGCCCATGCTCAGTTTTACCTTTAGGAGAGTCTGTGAGTAGCTCATCAGTTGACTCATAGTCGTAGTCTGGTTGTGTTGCGTATACCTCTTTTACAAGGTCTTTCCAATTTTTGTCCATCTTAAAATGGATTTTTATCTTTTTGGTTGTGAAACGTTTCTGTTTCATGACCTCATACATGTCGTATTGAATTTGTTGTACTGGTTCTTCGGGTTGGGGGATTTCCGTTTCAACATCGACGGTTTCCCACTCGGACTGGGACAAAACTGGAGTGACTGTTATACCGTTGTATTTTAATGTCTGTCCCTCTTCTTTGTGTTTCCTGTATTTTGATCTTGTCATTCCTTCATACACCATGTCTATTTCTCTAAATCTTACTTTCTTTGTATCCATAGGTGAGGATTTGCTACCCTTCGTGTCAGTGGGGGAGTCGGAAAGTTTTCGTTTGACAGTTGGTGAAAACAAATTGTCATCATTTGTGGAATCAGAGCAGAAACTTTGGCGTGAACAACTAGTAGAATGACTGTCTGAATCATCTGATATGACATTTGTTAATCCTGATAAATTATCTGATCTGTCTATTGATACACTGTACGAACCATCGTGTGAGAAACTTAGAATGGCTTCCGAATCACTTTCTTCACTGTAACTGGTTCCTTCACTTTCACTACCAGATAAACTTGAATCAGAATCATTTTGGTTCGATTGTTCCACATTATGTTCCAACTGATCACATAATGTGCGTTTGCTGACATCTTTTGAATCTGATATTGTAGATGATTTTGGCATTTTTTCATCTCGCGTCTGATCGACTTGGGATTCGGGTTTGGAACTGTTTGCTGATTCACTTGCGTTGCTAATAACAGACATGGTATCTTCTTCCCGGTCAGATTTCCCAGATATCGGATAGCTTTCAGCTGATTTGAATGACCCAAGACTCCAATTTTCTGGATCTGGTAGAGCTTCAGTTAAAGCCATTTTTTCAAAGACTTGATCTTCCGACTCACTAACATTAGAGTACCAAGATTCTGTTTTCTCAGCACGGTTGCTACCAAAGAAACTGCTAACAAGAGGTTTTGCTCTGATCCTTATGTGTTTCAAATCAAGTTTATCGAGTTCATTTTCGTCGTCTCTAATGATTCTCGTCCAAATTGCCTTTTGTTGGTGTGCATTTATTAAGTTCTCCACCTCAGACACCCACTCCTCATTGTTTACATTGACAGTGTCATCAAAAAGATGGGAGTGTAATCTCTCAAGTTTTAGACTTTCATTGTGTATCTTTGAATTGTTCTTGGGGGATGTTTTTGGTGACCTTGATCTCACATCTTTTAGGACCTTCTTGCTATCGTGCTTCAGGAAAATGACAATTGGTTTGAATCGTGATGTCATGAGTCTTGGGATTTCTGTCGGTTGGATATCAATTAAAGGGTGTTTGTTACTGTCTATAATTTCTCTCACGATACCGTATTCAATGTTATCAACACTATCACTCGAACTGCAGGTTGATTCAGGAATTTGATATTTTTCGGGATAAGCAGACGACAGTTTTTCCATTGCTACATCAGCTAGGCCCCCAAGGAGTACAACGGGTCGGGGGTATTCAGCAGTCTTGTGCTGTACAAAGTCATAGCCATCCAGGGTTCCATCAATGCTGGGGTAACTTTGTAGTTTTTGTTTCTTTCTAGTTTTCGCCCATTTTCTTCCTGGAAGTCATTTGAATATATTCAATTATTCTAGTCATCTAAATTACACGTAGCTCCATTTATCATATTTATTTTAAAATGAATTGATGAACAAACAAAGTTAAAAAATGAGAAATATGTACATGAATTAAAAAAAGAAAGAAATATAAAGAAAAACAGATTTAACAAAGCAACATCCAAACTTAATGTAGATGATAGGCGCCTATATATTGCAAGTAAAAGTTAAAATAATACATTTACCTGCTCTCCTGAACACACCAGGCTTACTCTTCTTCGTTGTTGGGCCAAGTTTGGTCTGAGCCAAGGCTAGTTGTTCGGCTCTGTCTTTATTAGGAATTTTGCCCTTTTTGCGGTCGTTGTTGCTCTTGTCCAGCTTGACAGCCTCCCACGATCCCAACTGTTCATTATACATTGTGTTGGTCACACACATGATGTCTCCAACGCGGAACTTGAGGTCCTCTTTTTCGATGTTATGATAGTTGAAATTAGATCTTATATAAAAAAGATCACCCGATAGATGGCTCTCTTTAAGCTTTTGAAATTCGTTCATCTTCTCTTGGACGACAAGGTTTACCTCACCAGTGGCACTTAAAAGTAGCAAAGTCACTTCCTCTCTTGTTTTGAATTTAGTGTCAACTCCGTTTACCCTCAACAGCCTGTCCCCAGATTTCAGACCTCGAGTACACACTTGAGATTGTTCATTTACGTAAGCCACATACACGCCAGTTGCGTTACCTCCTGCCAGCTTTATGACATCATGATCATCTTGTGTTCTGTCAAATGATATAAATCGGGGTTCCTCAATCTGTTTAGCTTCGCCATCATGACTTAGTCGGTCAAAAGGAATACCACTGATGCAAGTGTCAGCGAACTGAGATGACTTATAATTGAGGACATCTTCGTCCAAATTGGCAGATGGCAAATTGTCTTCAGAAGAAGCTATTTTGGTTACCATGGTATCAAGGTCATTGTGATCACTGTTACTAGTGTTAGAATCCGGGCTATACAAATCCCAAGCTAGGGATGAACTGTTAGAAAGTACACTTATTGTGTCTTCTGCTTTCATAATCGTGTCAGTAAGTTTAGATATTGGCTTTTGGTATTGAGTTCCCGATGTCAATGATGCCCAATTAATGTTATTCTCTTGATTAGGGGCTTCTACGCGAGGAGACGCATCATCTTGTGTTATTTCAACGGGATGCTCAACAATTCCACTTTCAAGATCAACTAACATATTTATGTTATTATCCACTACCACACCAGAAATACTTTCCTTGTCCGATTCTATAAGATCTGTTATATTATACGAGGCAACGTTGTCATCGTTTTCACTGCCGGTTGAGCTGTCGGAGGTGGAACTGTCCTTCTGAGATGATTCACTGGCTGATGAATGATCTAAATCACTAGATGAAGTATTTTGGTCCTCATCTTCAATTGCTGCATTTTGCTCTTCTGCTGCATCTTCTGGTTCTTCACCATCACTATTCTCATCCTCTTGTATTGAATCTAGACTAATAGGGCCTTGTTTTATTTTAACAGGACTCTGAAGTACAGGAGCACGATGTGTCGATTTAGTAGGGGTTGCATCAAGATCATAACTGCCTGACGAATCACTATCATCATCCTCCTCACTTACTGTAGCATACGAATTTACATCTGAAGTATCTTCTGTTGCAGTGTCATTTATATCAAACGAAGTGTCGGAAGAGTCCAATTCATCTTGAGCAGATTCATTTGTATCAGACTCAGATTGGTTGGTTTCAGTATCACTAATATTCGCTAACAGATTCTTAACCTTCTCAAATCCATCAAATTCTTCTTGTTTAGAACATGTAGAAAAGTCATATGTTCCAGAGGAGTCGCTGTCATTTGATGTATCAGAGTCGTCCTCTGTTTCACTGTTGCCTAATGTTATATCTTGATCAGATGAACTTTTATCTGATAGATCATCGCTTAATTGGCACATTGTGTTATCAGTTTTCCTTATTGATTCAACATCACTAGTTTCATTCTCGGATTCCGACTCTAATGAACTTTGAATGGCTGATAATGCTTGTTTGACTTTCTCTAATCCATTTTGAGGTTGCTGAGGTGACGAGTCTAACTCATAACTATCAGATGAGTCAGAAGTTTCAGAATCACTTCCATAACTCGATTCGCTTGTTGTCTTTATTGACTCAGAACTATCTGAGTCATCTTCAGTGTTATCATTCTGTTTTGATATGGGTGGGAGGGCAAGTGAGTGTATAACTGGATTATTTGTATTGGACTTAATTACAAGAGGGGAGTTAGGTTCGCTGACCTGAACAAGTTTGTAATATCGCGAATCGGGTGATAAAACATCAGAATTTATAACTTCGCAAATTTCTTCATCATCCTCGCTCTCATGATTTGATTGTTCAGGTGTATTACGTGTTGGCCACATATCAAGGCATGACAATGCCAAACTATCGATAGATTTGATATTAATTGGAGAAATACTTTCATCATGCGATTCTGTGGAGTCATAAGGAAGATAACACGTGAGTTGTTCAACACTTTGACTTAAAGAACGCCTAACCTCATCGTCGCTAGATCCGTTACTTCTTTCCACAACGACATTCTTAGCGTCATCGATACTGCCAATAGTGTAGCGTCTTGATGAAGGATTTGAGTTAAAAGTCATCGTAACATTTGTGTTTTTCTTTCCGTCGTCATCAGAGCTAGTGTCTGTGCTATGTCCAGCTTTACCCAAATTCACGCTTAAAGATACAATGCGTGGAGCCTGACCCTCGAGATTCAAGATATCGTCCAGACTACTATCTTTTGAATCATCTGTAGTAGGAACGCCACTGTCTCTATCAAAACGATTGTTGACACGTGTTATCTCCTGTTCAAAGAATGTTGTACTCGAAGCTACCTTATTTACTTGAGAAACATTGAACACTGCTGATTCCGATTCATTGCTAGAGTTCATCAATCGGTTTTCGTCATCTGAGGATGATACATCCTGGTACCCACTGTCGGCACGTTTTTCTCTGACAACAGGTGACTTCACAGGGGACTGAAGTATAGTCTGATTTACTTCAACTAATTCTTCGATATCATCATCAGATGCTTCACTTGATTGTCCATCACTTGTGAAACTTTCAACATCGTTTTCTAAGCTGAACTCAAGAGAATCATTGACAATGACACTTTCTGTTTTGATTGAATTCAGAGTTTTCTCTTCGACCTTGACCAGCTGCAGATCTGTGCTATACAAAATACTCTTAAGTGGATCCATTGTCGACGCCTTGCCATACACAGGTTCAAACAACCTCCAGGTTGGCACATCTGTTTCAATGTCCACTACAAAGTTTATCACTCTCTCAACGGGGTAAATCACTTCACGAATAGTAGGATAATTGGGCTCTTCACTGGTTGGAGACCTTTTTGCTTTAGCTCGCTTCTGTGCCTTGGATTGGTAATTAGTAACTGCATTGTCAGTATAACCCTGAGTGTTTTTACTACAAGAAGCTTTAGAAACTGGGCTCGACTTTGCATTGGTATCAGAATCATCGTCTGTAGTACAGTCATCACTGTCAGAGTGTTCACTGAGGGATCGACGTCTGTTGGATTTACTAGTTGAATATCTCATGCCAAGACCCGAATCCATGCTTCCGACAGTTTCAGCTGAAGCAGTTGTAGAACTCTGGCCTCGTTTACTTGATTTTGTTTTCATTTGAACAAGATTAGATTTACTCAATTGATCACCGAGTTCCTTCACGGCTTGTTTGTTTCTTTCATCGGACATATTTGGAGTTGACCGAGCTTGTGGTGCATTTTTGGAGGATGCATATTCTGTGGGGAAGTCGTCCAAACAGCGATTCATCTCTAAGGAATTTGATGTTGGAGGAGGGGAAATGTGGTTCATACGTTTTAGTTTGTTATTGTTCACAGGGCGTTCATAGCCATCCCACAACGTACTGGATGGATTCAGTTCATCATATATTGGTTTTGAAGTCCTACATGGTACAGGTGGTGGCTCAGCTGCCTTCGGACGAGGTGACCGTGGGGGTGGCAGCGCTTTAGAGTTGAATTCAGGTCGTTTTGCCATTCGTTCACGCTTTACATCCTCCATTGACATATATACGTGTTCTCCTTGTTGTTCAGGTATCTCAGCATAACAAGGTTCTTCATCAGCATTCAGTGTACTGCGACTCGTTCTACTTCCAGCGTCTGATCTATCATCAATGAGAGTCCAATGTGGCCCATTGACGCTACCAGAAATGCTACTGCCTTTAAGACTCTCCGCGCATGTACTATAACTGCTTTCTTGATCCATTGCCGTCTCGTATGAGCTGGAAGACATGCTTCGGGTGAGGCTTCTTGTACTATGACTTCTTGTACCAAGGCTTCGGTTGGATCTTGGACTACTCAGATCTGAGGTCGAATTAAAGTGAATCATTCTTCTGTTGGGGTTCATATTGATGACATCCCGTAGCATGGCTGTTACGTCAGAATCGCCACCAGGAACTAAATCTATTGCTTTTTTACCTGAGTAAGTTTCAGCGTTGAAGTCTGCGCCGGCTGCCAGTAGTAGCTCAATGATTCTGTGGAATCGATGTTTCACAGCCAGATGTAAAGCCGTTTCACCCCTGATATTCTGTTTGTTGATGTTTACCTTGTGTTTGATCAATATTTTGGCCACATCATTATAATTGTCAATAGCTTTCATTCTTTTTGGGTCATGGGGATGCTGCAGTAAACAATGAAGAGGACTCTGAGAATGTGAGTCAAGAATATTTGTATCAGCATCGAAATTTTCCACGAGCTGTTGTACGACTTGAACATGTGCCTTTTCACATGCAATATGAAGTGCCGTTTGCTCCCGATTGCCGTAATAACATGGTACTTTCAGATTAAAGTTACATTTGTAGGAATAGAAGATGTTCAAAAGAGCGATATGACCCTCAGATGACGCTATATGTATTGGTGTGGCCCCGCTGTAGCCCCGGAGGTACAAGTTGGCACCGTATGAAAGAATGAGGTTAGCAAGTTCAGAGTGCCCGTATTTGGAAGCAATGTGAATCGGAGCATTAAAGTTTTTATCTGTCAAATCAGCATTTGCTCCAAATGATAAGAGGAGTTTAGCCATTTCAAAGTCTGCATCTTTAATTGCAAAGTGTAACGGTGTTTGTCCATTTGAGTCCTGTTTATTAGGGTCCGCGTTAGCAGCAAGTAGAGCACTTGCATTATCATGGATTCCAAACCCTGCAGCGATGTGTAATGCAGACGTCTTATCAAACCCCTCTTTTCTCACAAAATTTGGTTCAACGCCAACTTCGAGGAGATATTTAAGGATTGCTGGGTCACTGAGTTTCGCAGCTAGGAATAAGGCACAGTCACACTCCCGAGAGACTCTCTTCCTAGCCTCGGCCGTACAAAGCAGCTGTAGGCTTGGTTTATTCACGTAAGGTTCGATAATGGCCTTAACCTCTGCCAAATTCTGGTTTTCGATGGATATCATCAAGTCAACAGCGTGGGATTTTTTCACTTGTTTGTCCCACATCGTGTCTGCTGTTTGTTGTTTGTTCCCCTGTGTCTGTTATCCAATCGGGTTTCACTTACTGCATATGGAGTATTTTGACATCCATCACCTAGAAAAATATTGTACATCACATCATTCAAAGTTAATATCACTTTCACGATATTTACAATCTTTTTTAATGTTAACCACGGATCTTATTTTGAATTCCTACGTTACCTGTTCATACTAATTTTATGACATTTTACTGTGTAGTTTTAAATGTCTAATCATGATCAATCAATAGTCAGACTATTACAAACCACTTGCTTTTGTAAACATACAGTCAATGCTTAAGCCCTACTCAAAGTGATATAGCTAAAACTGTTGCATACTAAAAAGGCCTCTACATAGCATCGAACTTGAAATATGAACCATGGTATTTACATACTTGTTTAAAGTTCAATCAAATCCAAAATCAAAACAATAATGACTTAACGCCTGTACTGGAAGCCTCCATTCATTTAAGTGCGGGATATCACTTTAACCAAATAAAAAGAGTTAACCATACGACCATTTACAACAGGCCCGTACCTAGGATTTGTCAAGGGGGTCCACTTTTTGAAAAATTCCAGGGGGCTAAATTTTGACAACTTTGGCCAAAAATGGCAAAAATCACTTGACAACTGCCCAGAATGATGAAAAACTGCATGTTTTTTGAACCCCGAACCCCCCTGGCCTGCACAATATTAAAATCAATGGAACTTATTAACATCTGATCTGAAAATCTGAAATACATTAGAATCGTTACAATTCATTAAGGTACGGGATATCATGATAGTATGAGTTTATGACGCAGTTCGTGTTCAAAGTATAAACGTGTGATATTGAGATCACTTAAGGATAGACGTCCTGACGTCCTGGCTTAAAGCTAACTAGTCAAACTGTTTATCTTTGTATTTATTCTCCTAAATGATGCCGTGATTCATTTATAAAATTTATGATCAAAAACAGTACCGATATTCAATGTAAAAATGTACACTAGTCAAGACTGTCCCCCCCTTATATATATTTATACCACATTACATTGTTTGTCGTGGGAGGAGGGGGAGGGTGGGGTGCTCACAATGGTGCTGACTAGGCATCATAAAGATACAAGGTTTAAAATCATCAGTATAAAACATGATTTCGATACTTGTAATTTGTTATGCTAATGTTGCATCGAGAAAGTCCAATATACCTGTATCTACAATATACATACGGCTATGTAGCTTTAACATTCCAATAGTAAGATTTATTACAAATATTACAGGACAACAGAATGGCCCTCATAGATTCATCAGGTATATATACAGTGTACCTATATGATACAGGTATATCACAACATCGTCAAATGGCTTTGTGAACAAACCCCGGGGAACAAACAAAACGTTAACCTACATTCCTCAGTTTAAAACACAAAATGGCGTATATTTAGAACATGACCTTATACCTTATTATTGAACATGACATCTGTGTTATTATTAAACCTATATTGCTCAGTTGTACCACGATCTTTAATTTAGCATATACATAATATAAAATATACTCACTGAACAACGGTTTTCCTATTTAAACATGTTAATGAATGAACTGTAAATCGTCGTTATTAAAGGTATGTAATCCGAATTGGCAATAGCAATATATTTGTATTCAGTATGACTAGTTCACTTCCTTATCGTGTTATTAATAAACCTGTATATATATCGGCCATCTATTGGTGGTAATTAATGTTATCATCTCTCATGTTGCATGCCTTTTCGTAGTTGCTCGGATTTAGTATACAGTATTTATGACTAATGGTAAACATGCAATATTTATTAATTAATGCATACACAATGTGTTTACATGGTTGTCACACATTTGGAGTTGAAATCCAATTGAACGGAGTAAAGGTTATTGTATGTTGACTCCAGGCGCTTTTGAAAATGAAAAATGGTACGCATTTTCTGTAGATGACCTAATTTATCTAAATAAATATATATGTACCTTCTAAACCAGTAAAACTTTTGATAAATATATCTTTGAGTTGAATATATGAAAGCTACAGAAAAACTACTGACGACATTTAAACACACTTGGCAGTTCATTACTATACGTGTATGCGGCTGATTTATTTCGACAGACAATAACGCAAAATGAAAATCACAGGTATTGGCAATAAATTCTGTAATTTATATTATATGATTATTATATGATAATATACTGATAATACTCGGGCCTCGTACAATTCAAATTTGTCACCTTATGTGTGATTTTGCTATAATTTTCTGATCTCTTCAAAGTATGGCTGTATTATACTCAAATGGGAGGAATTTTAGAATTGTTTTTCTGATTCGTGCCTCGGAAAATTCAAAATGGTTGCTTAGAGCAGAAATTGGCTATTTCTTAGAGATATCTTCAAATTATGATTACATTATACTCTATTAGATCTAAAACATTGTGTTGTTTTTATGTCAATTTAATCAAAGGTAGAGTACATGGTTAATAACATTGTGACATATAGTGTTCATTGGGATTTGCTACTCCGTTGTGTGGACGTTTTCTAGTTTCATTTAATTTGTAAAGTTCAAAAATTATTAAATCCACTTATGGCACTTAAGCATAGATTAAATTCCAAACACCTGGAAAAAATTTACTCTTCCTTTATCCCGTCACATCTGGACTATTGTGATATCATTTATGACGCTGCTCCAGCTACCAGCCTAGCCCAGTTAGACAAGCTACATTATAGGGCAGCTGTTATTTGTTCTGGTGTTATGCAAGGAGCAAGCACAGAAAAAACCCTTGAAATATTAAATTGGGATAATCTTCAAAATAGACGGGATGAACATAAATTGCGCGTTATGTTCAAGATTCATAACAATTCGGCACCATCTTACGTTAAACGGATTTTCGAACGATATAAATCACCTCAGACGCGAGCTCTTAGAACAACCAACGACTACAAATTACCAGCCTCAATTAGTAAAAAAATGGAAACGGGAACAGTTTGCTCAATGATAACCTTGTGGAACCGTCTTCCTAGAGACCACAAGGAAACGAACAGCTTCTCACTTTTTAAAAAACAACTAAACGATCACCTCACCAAAAACACCGAACCTACAATTTCAACCTCCTACATACAGAATCTTGATAGAAAAGAAGAAATTGTATTAAATAAGATAAGAGTAAATCGATATTTCAAATCCGATCTTTTTGACCATAATTTCTCTTTCATTAACGATCCATATTGTGACTGTGGAGCTCGAGAGACAGCACAGCATAAACTCTTGTCCTGCCCTCTGAGAGAAACAAATGCGCTAGCGGTGGTTAAACATGAACTAAACAAATGAAAACAATTCCAAAATCTTTAAGGCAGTTTTGAATTTCATTAAATAATCGATAACAGTAATTCAAATTCAGGGCACCAACGGGGGTACAGACAGGTAGAAAAACAGATAGTATCTAAATTATATATTTTTCTAACTCTAATAATGACTTTGACTAAATGTTATATTATATTGTATTTTAAATTCACTTAAAGCGGCAGTAGAAATGCCCTTTCCTCCATATACAGGGTGTCAAAAACAACGGCACCCCCTCTACAGCAAAGAGTACTTAATTTTACATGGTGTGTCATATCTCATTTTAAAGACAATTTAATTCTGGAGTTACCTGGGAAATTTCAGCTTTATATCATATAATTTTACAGATTTACAGCTGATTCTTAGTAGTTGGTATGACCACCAGTTGCTGCTCAAACAGCAGCTTATCTGGACAGATATAATTTCAATAAGAATTCAGATAAAGGTGTATCATTGCATAATCCTCTAAGCACTTTCCTCATATTCTTCAGAAATACATTCTCACTGTATCTTTTTTCAAGAGGCTCTTCGTCCATCAGTTCCTATACCCTGTTTTTCAGAACTGAACCCATATGTTCAGTGCAGTTGAAATCTGGGCTAATCCTGATATTTCACTTTCTGAAGTTTTGAAGATTTGACCTTTAACCAGTAACAGAGCAGCAAACAAAGTACCGAAGTATCAAAGTTAAAGTGTCTCACATATTCGATCAAAATTTGCCATGCAAACATGTTAGTCTACTTTACTGGCCCCCCTTGCTGTAACAAGGAACCCAAAACACATTAAAACGTAAACATAAACCAATTAGTCACTTCACTATGAAAGTGAGGGGTGTTAGTCCATGCACACAGCGTATTCTGCTAATACATATTTGCTAACACAATATCAGTGGTCATTTACTGTGTCAGCTTAGTAACCCTTGCATATCGTGCTCACTCAAGTATTGAATATTTTTTTATGATGTAAATGTTTGTGGTTTATAAAAAAATGTGATATATTATAGTTAGAAATACATTAATTAATATATTCATTCAAACAGCACTAGAATGCGGGAAAAAAGAGCAATGGTGACAAAATGCAGACAGAATTTTCTGTAAGGGTTTCAAACATTTCTGGACACAATCATACATGTACTTCATGTGTACTGTTATTTTTAGTGCTGTATTTATAGATATAATTTCACGTATTAAAATCATATTTTCTAGCAATGAATTCAAATTCGGAACCACACCCATATCACATTTTCTTCAATAACTCCAAACATGTGTAAACATTGACCATGAGCATATAAATTCAGATTTCACGAGCTCTTTCCTATTCGAGTACCTCATACACCCCTGCATGGATTTGAGTTGGATTCGCCTTTTATACGTGAGCCGACACACTCGCAAACGCTGATTGGATAAAGATTGCGAGAATCTTTAAAAACAATGTAGCTTTTTTAATATAAAGTTTTATTAAATGAAATTTGAGGAGTAACTCCAGAATTAAATTATCTTTCAAATGATATATGACATGATATGGAACATTCAAGACTTTTTGCTGTAGAGGGGGGTGCCGTTGCTTTTTGACACCCTGTATATCCAAAATATATATCCAGAACTTTTTTTTACTTTCCTCATGCCCTCTTGTTTTCACTGTTAAATTATTTTCATACATTAGTTTCAAATGTTTAAACAGGTCTATATTTATAATTCAGTTGAAACTAGCCCATAAAAAATATAAAAAATCTTGTTATACAAGAATAACCCCTAGACACAGTTAAAATTGAAACACTAAAAACAGTAAAAGTGATACATGTATAAATATATTCCTGTACAGAAAATCAATGTGCAATCAACAAGGAAAGGGTTTGTAAAACAGTAAATACTATTGTCGAAATCAGAGAAATTGCAGTATGCTCAAACAGATTCGCCAGATTTCTATAAGTACATCAGTAATAACAACAAAACGTTGTATTTATGTGTTAATAGGACTGTACTGTAAATATATATGGACAGAAAAAGAAATTACAAAATTCAGAAGTAGAATGGAACTTTCTAAATATGTAATATTGAAAGAGAAAATCTCATAGCACTATTTTTTTCAATTGCACAAATGCAAAGAATATGCACATTAAAGATACAAAAAATGTTCTAATCAAGCAGCTTTTGACTGCTCCAAAGAACTACAAGAAAACTCATGGGTTTCAAACGTAAACAAAATAATTTGCTCTATTAATGAAAATTGCTCTGAATCTGTGGATTCTACAATTGATACCTTAAGATGTACATCATTACTTAAACTAAAATTTGACAGGTACTGGAAGAATAAATTAAACACTGACATTAGGAAAAATGATAACGACAATAAACTACGAACCTACAGAACCCTCAAGAAAGATTTTAAATATGAACATTATTTAAATATAATCGACAGACTTGATATGCGAAGAAACTTTACACGTTTGAGAATAAGTGCTCACAACCTCCAAATTGAGCAAGGGAGATATACAAAACCAAAGAAAACCCCAATTGAAGAAAGACTGTGTGTCCATTGCAATATTATTGATGATGAAGAACATTTTATGATGAAGTGTAAAAAATATCAAAATGAAAGATTATTACTTCAAACTGAATTGTCTGATACGGCAAAAGCACAAACTAATCAATTTATATACCTCTTAACTTGTATAAATCAAGATTGCATCAAGGTTGCAAAATATATTAGTGATGCCTTCCGAATTTTAGAAAGCAATACTTAATTTAGAAAGGCTAATTCCTGCTGCGCAAAAAAGCATTTTGTAGTAATACATATTTTACATTTTACAGTATTAAGCATATATTATATGTAGTATATAGTAGTCTAGTGTTAAATCATATATATTCTTTTTGTGTACTGCACTTTCTTGTACCTGAACCTCAGGGGTGTGAATGTACTCAATAAATATTCTATTCTATGTTTTTGTAAATACTTAAGAAATAAATCGGTGCACTGAGTCCAAGACTTAAATCTTTATCACCTTGACAACTATTCAACACATACCATTTGACCTGAATTTAAGCGGGTTTGTTATTCCCTATAATAATATTTATAAAATTTTACTCAAATATGAACTTGACCAGCTTCGGTTTCATTAGTTTCAGTAGAATCTAAAAGGAGCTTGTATGTTTTTTGGTTTTGTTATATAATGCGTGAATTAAATTATGAGTGAATCAAAATAAAATTTTCTGAGAGAGATGTTACAGCAATGGAGGATTACGAGGAACCTTTGAAGCCAAATGATATTTAGACATAACTGTAAAGCCCGGACGGTGATCGGACAGAATGAACGGAGGGGGGATGCGCCGATTGAATGCAAAAATTATGGAAGATGTAATTTTTAAGAGAAAAATTATGATTGTATTACTGAATGAATAGACGCACGGTATGGTAAAATATGTTAGGTCTTCTATTTCTAGGACCGATACGTATACGCTTCTGAGATATAAGATCTATTGAAAAAGATGCTTCACCAACATGCAATGGGAATAAATGTTCAAAATTTGGGCCCACTTTTCAAGTTGGTTTTAGGGGCCAATTGGTTCAAAAAAATTCTGGAAGACCCGGCCAACACGTTTTACTATACCGTTCGCTTTCTTATTTAGCGATTCAATCATAAATTTTCTCTTGAAAAATAAATCTTCCAGATTTGTTGAATTTTCTTGGAGAAATCGTAGCATCCCCTAACTGGCCAAGCGGGGGGAGGGGGGAAGGGGCGAACATGGGGTCCCAGAAAAATGCCCCTTTTTTTGGCAGGGCCTAATTTTCGGATTTTGGGGCCCAAATTTTTTACTGATTTGGAATTTTCCCCCCTAGTATGTATAAACATACTGAATGAGACTCAGTCTGAATTTATTCAGACAAATGATTTACAGTCTGCCCCCCCCCCTTGTTAGGTTCTGGATCCGCCAATGCGTTCATTCTGTCCGATCACCGAGCGTGAGTATGAACTATGAAAGCTAATGAATTCTAAAATCTATAATCAATATAACTACTATTTGTTAACCCGAATCGTTACCATACTATACATCGTATAAAAGCACATAGCGTACGCTCGCTGTACATTTCGTGATATCTGGAACGCCACCATTGTTTTTTCTCTATTTCCGGGTTTGAAATTTGAGAAATATTTATCTTCTTTGCAACAAAACAATAGTCTACTTACCACGGACAATTAAACAGTATTAGAATAACTCTTTGCATAAGCGCAACGTCAAGGATAATCATGTTCGAAGCAGCAGTATATAGATTCGTCAAAGCAGTTGGTGAAGAATCACTTCACCAAGTGCCTGATTTAGATAAATCAAATCTTTGTAAACCACTGGCAATTGTTGTAAAAAAGAACAAAAGATGGTTCTGGCAAAAGGCCAAATACAAGCCATATCCATTTAGTTTAGAGCAAATACTCACTGAAAATGATCACATCCAACTACCCTGCTCAGTACGGAAGTATGTAACTTATAACAAAACGAGCTGCTTTTCTGCTAGTGGGAAAATTGGTGCATCGCTGAAGTCAATCATAGAAGCAGACATAGAAGGTTCTGATACAGTTCAGCTAGACGCAAAGTTTGGAGTTGTCAACAAAGTAGAACTCGCCAGTATTGATGATCTTATTCAGCTTCTTAAGAACAAGTGAGTTCGGTCTCAAAGTACTTAACAGAAAATGACAAAACAGGAAGTGACAAAACATGCTGCATTTTTGGACATTTTTTGAACAAAGAGAACAGAGTTCTGTTTTGACACCTCCAGTCAGTTTAATTAGTTCCACATACTGTATCATTTAGATGCACAAAAACTCAGAAAAAAAAAATCGCGTTTAATATAGTAGCACATGAAAATAACTAGGAGCTATGGCGGATCCGGGGGGGGGGGGGGGGGCCCGGGCCCATGGGGCCCGGGCCCCCCCCCCCTAAGGTTGGCCCAGAAAAAAAAAAGTTGGGTCCAAAAATATTTTAGGCCAAAAAAGGCCTTAAGGCCCCAAAAAGTGGGCCTTTTGGTCATTATTGGGCCTTTAAGGCCTTATTTTTTTAATTTTAGGCCAAATTTTGAAGAGAATGGGCCTCAAATTTTCAAAATTTGGGGCCACTTTTCGGTTTTAGGGGCCCAAATTTTTTTTCGTTTTTTCTCTCACCTCAAATTTGGCCCCCCCCCCTGTTGGTTCCTGGATCCTCACTGAGGAGTACGGTATTTGATTGGACTGATTTGGGCTAGTTTGATTTCCTTTTTAGAGTTAGGCCATGCTTTACAAAATGGCAATTCTAATGCCAACTTTTGGAAATTTTGACATCAAAATCAATCCTATTTCACCATCCAGCTATTAATTTTGTCAAAAAATAATACCAATGAAAATCAAAATCTGGCATATGGTATATTACATAAATTAGCATAATATAATTGTCCCCACTAACCAACAGTTCCTTGGTTCATTTAAAGTGTGTACCATATGTCCATTGTATTATATATGATACGCAACCTACATTATACATGTATATTCATTATTTTCAGACATTTAGATCTGAAACATGAGTTTGTGAAACAGGTGAGGGAACATCCACGCAAAGTTCTGTGTGTTATCACTGGGGTTGCAGAGACAAGCCAGGAGTGTGAGCTGCATGCACACATGGACGTTGATGCAAAAGAAGACTTCGATGTTGACAAGGTATGAATAAAGGGAGTGGCAAAGGGTAAAATAAGAAAAAATTCACATTATGTAATTACAATAATTACAAAAATGATGCAGATTAGATCAACATTTTTACTCTGTCAGCCATGGTCTTCCCTATAGGCAAAGGCCGATAGGAATACTTTTTAAATAAAGATGGCATGGTAATCGATCTGTGTTTATTTATAAATATTCTCTTCAGGTAATCAACAAGAGCCGAGGTGGTACTTTTAAAATCCACATATTGCCCCTATATGCCGATCGTTCTTGTGAAACAGTCCTACTGTTCAATAAAGGACAAATCCATATACATACCAAGTGTGTAGTGTTGATCAAACACTTACTGAAATAGGCATAATATGCCTAAGAACAGCAAAGTTGCAGTTTGCGAAATTGGCCATGGCAGATTTCCGGAAGTAGTAATTATTCACTTCTCTCTTCGATTAGACGTTTATTCTCAAACATCAACAAACAATCTGAAATGATTTTTTCATATTTTTAGAAAGTTTTTAGAATGGTATGCTATTTTTAAGGCTTCGCTAAAAATCGGTAAGTACCAATTGTATGCTTTGCGCAAAATCAATAAACATTTGATTCCTGCCATGGCCAATTTCGCAAAACGGGACAGTGCTGTTTTATGACATGTCAGTCCGTCAGTATGTCATTACATATCGATTTTATGTGCTAGGTATTTCAATCCATATGTTTTCTTTATATCTAGTTATATTTTTCACATTGGGAATAGTGTTAAGTCGACATAAATTGGAATTCAAAAACTACATCAACAACTCGTTGAGCACCTGAGAGAAAAAGATAATACTGGATTCTGTTGGTGCTGCCATCTTTATATCGGCCCAGAACCTATGGTCTTCCCCATTGCCAATTTGGAAGAAACTTAATTACTTGTTACCATTTTTAGATTTTTTTCAAACAAATAAAATGACCTCCCCAGGATTTTTGTCTATTACTTATCATAACAAGACCAATTCCTGAAAATATTTGAAGTCTATCTTGTATAGTTAATAAATCAAGGGGTGTGAGAAATGCTCTGTAGTGAGTTGTCCAAGGGTGCCGCTCTGTAAATATGCTTCAGAACCTCACCTCTAACTGCATGGGACTGTTTATCTTCAGCTGCATCTAGATGAGAGAACTGAAATAAAGGACAAAACTGACAAGAAATTTCTGCTGCCCAAAGGGACCCCCTTGGCATACAATGCTCTGGAGCTTTGGGTGGAGGCTGATGGGGGACTCAAGCTTATAATAGACTCAGACTCCAGAGGAGGATGGGGAGACATAGATGAAGTTGATGCCACTTTGAAAGGTGATTTAACCTCTCATATTATTATCCCAATGAAGTTCATTAGAGTTCATGAGAGGAGGATCCTCCACTTTAAAACAATTATGTACAAAGCCGTGAACGATTTAACACCTATTTATATCTCAGATATATTTAGGCCATTCATAAACCCTCAAGCAAGATTGTTAAGGAAATCTAGAGATTTCACTATCCCTATTCACTATCCACATAAGTCTCCAATATACAAAATGATGAACCTATGGAATGATCCAGGATCTGTTCCCTTGGAACAAAAGCTCTTGCCAACTATTGCATCTTTTAAAAGAACACTTAAATTAAATTTGTTCCCTGGTGTTGTTTCAACAATTTGTTTAAAATTAACTCGTAAACAAGAACTTTATCTGAATAGAGCCAGGGTAGATTTAATTTTAAAAGCCCAGCTCAAAGCCCACAATTGGAGCTCAGTTGAGTCATCAAATTGTTTATGTGGTTCCCCTGAAACTTTTCCCCACTTCTTTTTCAAATGCCCTCTGAAAGAACAACAAAGAAATAAATTAATAACAGATACTTTAGGGATATATGGGGACTTATTAACTCATTTCAAAACTCAGCAAGACAAAATTCACTTTTTTCTTTTTGGGGATCCATCATTAACCCAATTAGAAATGGATAATCTATTTTCACTGGTTGCGAATTATCTCATTGAAAACACAACCAGAATCTAAATATTTTCCTGCCTATGACCGGTTTCCAATTTTCAACATACTACCCCCCCCCCCCAGGATATCAGCAGCCCTCCTATCTTTTGTTTCATTGCAAGGCATTCTACCATTTACAGGTGACATCCAGGTTAAAATGAATATTGTACTTTATTGTTTATTTATATAAGGGGACATCTAATGCTTACAGCGCTTTGCCCCTTGTAATTGTATCTAAATGACTTGTGTTTACAATAAGTATGAAAGATGACAAAAAAAAAAGTTCATTAGGGATTAAGTGAAGCTCTCCAATTCACCCATTGATCCATCCACCCATCCCACCTATCCCACCCAACCAACCACATGTCCAGCCAGAAACTGATAAAGATTTATTCATACCATTTTAGGAATTATTGTGAAAGTGTGCCTTAATGTATCTAGATTATTTAAAAATATATTTATTATTCAAAAAGTTATTGCGAAATAAAGAATATGAACATTTTAAGCTCACAAATAATAGCCTAAATACTTTCATCACTGCTAAAATGGAGATATTTTTGTTTCAAAGATGAAGATACAGCAACAAGCTTCAAAGGCATCTTGGGTCTGAACTTGAATGACCGAAAGGAATTCACATCAAAGATTCAGGGGATCTGTAAGGATCCAAAGATGATCCATCCTCTCTATGTATTGGTAGGTATTCTGTCTAAATAAACAAATAAAGCATTCAATCTTTGCTGTTAGCGTTGGTCAATAATAACTACTATGCATTGCTACATATGTCAAGTTAAATACTTGATTTTTTATTAGTCAGTGAATATTTAATAATTTTGACTATTAACCTCTTTTTGCATTGAAATACATCACAATGTTTGTTTAAACCTAGTTATTCCACAGAACAAAGTCTAGTAGGGATATAGAGAGGCCACTTGTCAATACATTATGGCAATCAACTGAAAAATACTATGTATGATCTCCGATGAGCCCTCAGAAAAAATAATTCCAATTTGCTTTGTTGATGCGCCTGTGCAATTGAATGTGACCTCTGCTCAAGAAGAAATTTCAAATATGGCCACTCAATTAAAAATGGCTTTCATTTTTCGAAAAAAATGTATTGTGATTACTCAAATACCAGTTGACAGATTTGGTTACATGCTGATACCTTAGGGACACAGGAGCTCCGCTGAAGGATTTCTTTAGTTACAGAAAAATTACTTTGGAGCCATAACTTAGGAATTATTGTTTCGATTTGAAGTAATACCTTGAAACATGTTTCTTTAGTACCAATGAGATTTTGATTTGTATTAAAATGTTCCTATATGTTCTAATATAATACCATTGAGGTTTCAAATTGAAAATTCTAAATGGCCACCATATTTGTTTTGTGAAAAAAACAATATTTTAGCCAGGTTCAGGAATTATTGCTTTGATATGTTTTGAAATGTACAGGTATGTTTTCATATGTAACATTATGTCATTGCCACTTTTAGTTGAAATCTGCTGTGAGAAAGTGCAAAGACAGTGAAGGTAAAACAATAGAACTGAAAGCTGTTACAGACAAGTTAGGCACAGACAATGACAACTGGAAATATGTTCTACTCATGACAGGCTTTGAACTACAGGTATGCATAAACATTTCAAGATTTCTAGATTTCAAATTGTAATATATGAAAAATATTAAAACATGTGTTTCATTTTTGGGACTTTTTTTCTGATCAAGTTTGTAATTTGCCCAGTTGGTCCCCTGGTACTAAATTAAGCACAAAAAGTACAGTCAAATCCATGGACCCCACCTACTGCAGTTTCTGACACACATATTCTGCCGTGAAAATTGCAGAAAGTGTCAATTTTATCATGTTTGAGACTGATGCTCAAATTCACCTTAGATGTAGTTCAATATGTTTTTGATTCACAACAAAAAAGCCAATTTTCAGATTTAGTTCAATTACTTAGGAAAAATATACATTTAACAAATGATCAAAATCGTTGACGATTACAATTTGACTTAACATAACATAGTTTGTGATGAAGATCTCATTCCATGTTTCTATTCTCAACTGGAATTGGTATTAGCTAGATCACTTTTTGTGAGTCAAATTGATTCTTTGATAGGGACTTTTTTCTTTAAGACATTACTAGTACTGTACTGTATGTCTACATATTGTTTAAAGGCACTTTAATTATCCCAATGAATGAAGTTAAGTAGAGATATAGCTAAGCCCTAAGTAAAAATATCAAAATTGTCCAAAGCAGGCGTAATGTGCAGTAGACTGATGAACTACGTTCTCCAAACCAAGGGGGTCTAGAAAATGAAAATTTTCTTTAAATTATGGATCTCTCTAATTTGTGACCTTATTATACTCAAATGAAAGGAACTTTAGAATAGATTAGAAATATTGTATCATTTTTCTGATTCTGGCCTTGGAAAATTCAAAATGGCCACCTAATGTGGGATTTCGCAATAATTTCATGATCTTTCAAATGTTGCTTGCTATATAATATCAAATTGAGTTACGGAAATTACGTCACATAACATTGGATTTTCAGAAGAGCGGGCTACGAGTATTACGCCATCAATATACGTTGAATGGTATGGAGACATTCATTGTGACATTTGTTTTGGGGGATTCCTTACAATGACCAAACACTTTCACTTTCATTATTAGAGCACTTTGACATTCAATTGGAAATCGAAAGTGCATTTATTACAGTTAGTTAATGAAAAGGAATCAAATTGATGATAATCCTCAAAAAGTCATTTTGTAATGTTTTCTAAGGCCTAGATAGTTTATACATCCTTTAAGTAAAAGGTTATGCTACTACCTACTATCTACAATAGTGCGCAAGAATTCTTCACTTATTATTGCATATTTGCATTCTGTATTGTATTTATGAAATAAAAATAGCAAGTAATATCAATAAAATACTTTGTGTAATATTTATGAATTTTACTTTAATTTTAGTCAGATAATTGGTCCACAATCACGTATCCAACAGCTGAATCAGATATGTTGATGTCATTTTTCTGCCTAATGGAAGCTCTTGATGAACTTGAAGATGAACAAATAATTGCTTTTGCAGAACTGAACTCAGACCAGTCAGTTTCATTGCTCTACTTGGTAAGTTAACATTTGAATTTGATGTTCTGATCAAAACTTGCTGATAATGGTGATGAATCTTCCTAGTATTGGAGACACCTACACTATATGTACCAAGTTTCATATGTATATGGCTCTAAAATGAAAGTAATGAAAATGATTGACATTTATGAATAACATTTATTTCATGTCGTTATGACATTAACAAATTAAACACATAGTTTAAAACCTACCATTTATAGAATTCACACAAAATCAGATGCATTTGAAACAACCCTCCTTTTTACACGTGTGTTGTTAAATTGCAATTTTAATCTAACCTTCGAGTTAGCATGCACCCTAGCCAAAAAGACAGTGAAGCATTTGAAACAACCCTCCTTTTTACACGTGTGTTGTTAAATTGCAATTTTAATCTAACCTTCCAGTTAGCATGCATCCTAGCCAAAAAGACAGTGAAGACATCAGATGAGGAGGTCAGCGTTCTGTACTCAGAGCCCAACACTGCCCAGGTGTTCCTGCAGAGCCTTGGGATGCAGCAGATGGATGGCGCCACTGTTGTAGCTGGCAGTGATAACACAAATGAGATACAGGGGGCTTATAGGGCAGTATTTGCTCTTTGGGGGTCTTAAACGATGTTATCATAATCATATCTTTGTCTCATGTGGGTGTTAACATTCCCATGCCTTATTTGGGTATTAATATATCCATGTCTAATTTTGAGTGTTAACATATCCATGTTTTACGTGTCCACATATCCCTGTCTTATGTGTGTGTTACCATATTCATGCTGTATTCTGGTTTTAACTTATCCATGTCTTATATGGGTATTGATATATCCATGTCTTATTTTGAGTGTTAACGTATCCATGTCTTATATGGGTCTTAACATGTTGTGTGGTTCTGTTGCTCTTTATTGAAACATATGAAGCAGTATATTTATATAAGTCTGTCCTTCACTGATGCCTAAAACATCAGAGCTCTGTTCAAGAAGAGATTTTCAAGATGGCCACTGAATTTCAAAATGGTCACCATTTTTCATAAAAATTTGATAATTAATAATGAAATGGTCCAAATTGTATTGGCTATGGGCAAAGGATTTATGGTAATTTCAAAATGGCCGCCATTTTGTGAAAGTGTAATTTTTGAAAACTCAAATACCAGTTGAAGGATTCAGGTCCAATTTCATATGCTGATGTATTAGTGACAGGGGACTCTGCTCAAGAAGGCTACTGGGTTTTAAATGGCCACTATTTGTCAATTTTCAATAAATGAAGAACCAGTTATGGGATTTGGTTCAAATTATATAGGCTGATGTCATATGAATAAAGGACCTTTGCAAAAGAAAAAAATTCCAATACGTCTACTTAATTCAAAATGGCCGTATTTTTATTTTGTTGTTGTCTTTGATAACTCAAATACCTGTTGGCAGCATTGGTTCAAACTTTTTTGAAATCTGCTTCAGAAGGAATATCCAAAATGACTGCTGAATTCAAAATGACCTCACTTTTCATAATTTCTTTTATAACTCAAATATCAATTGTCAGAGTTGGCCCAGGTTTTATATGTTGAAAATGGCCGCCATCACCAGGAAAATATGATTACGATTTTTTAAGTTTTATGATAGTAGCATCATATAACAATGTACAGTGGCACTGTTCATTATATCATGTAACTGATTAGCATTGGAATCAATCAATATTATATTATATATTTTTAGATATATATTATTTAAGAAAGATATACATACACTGTATACAGAAGTAGACGATAAACATGGCTTAGAATTTTAGTGTGTCTCTTGTACAGGAACGGCGTAGAGTGTTTTCGTATGAAAAACAGGTAGATGTAGTTTTATTTGGTAATCTGTGAACGTTTTGTAGTGTTTCCCCACCTACTAATACGCTTATCAGGTTCCCAGAACGTCCGGTAAACATTCAATAAGTATCCTATTAACTTCGTTCGGAGGGATATAGGGAACACATCCGTCCGTCCGGGGATAACTCAAATACCGTTGGACCAATACCGTTTATATTTTCTACCTATATGCCTCGTGGAGGTACATAGTCTGCTCGAAAGCCAATTTTCAAAATGACTGCTGGTTTCAAATAGCCGCCATTTTAGTGTCAATTTTACATTATTGTTGGTACACATGTATAAAACAGTAATATAAATATGTTTTAAATGCAAAAATATAAATATATATTATATATAAATATTGATTAGGTTAAAAATCTAAATATTAAAAAAGATATGGTGGCCATCTTGAAAAATGATGGCCATTATTCGCCTATTTTACGATTTTTGATAAAACTGAAAAAGTAGAGGAGGGATTTTGTAAAAATGGCAGCCATGGCTCTTCGATGGGATTTGTTTACTTTGGCTGGTGTTCGGCGTCTGTAAGAAATCGCAGGTGACATTTTACATATGCCTTGTCTTGTGTCTTGAATGTGGGGTTAACCAAAGAAATGTTTCGATTTCGAACAACTCCACATAAATGAAAACTAGAGTTTTAGGTGCTTATTTTTAACAAGTGAATATTTCTCCGATGTACTGATAACGTGGTGAATATATTGCATATTATACGGTAGGGAAGTACTAAAAACGTGCACAGACGACAAAGTAAAACTACGCCTACCTAATTTTTTAAATAGATTGTAATTTATGACATATAGATTGTGACTACTGGCTTATGATTGCTTGCTGAAATATTTTGAGATTTTATTGAGCTAAACTCTCATGTAAGTTGTTTTTATCGCACCCTTCAGTGCTATATTGTGATCAGTTTGCCGGGCGGTTGTGGATTGACGGGTGAGCGTCCCACTAAATTTGTATACGTCTTTCCAGGCAATCCTTTTTGAAATCAATCCAAAATGGCCACCTTGACATTAACAAAGAATACCCCAAAAGTAATCTGTTCTAGATTTCCATACAAAGAAACATTTCTCAAAATTTGGATTGATTTCAATATTTGATGATTAAAATATGCTTCATATTGAAAAATGGCGGGAAATTTGAATATTTAAGAAATAAAATGCTGACAACCTTTCTCAACTTTTGCGTTGGGCCTTTAATGGATGAAGGTTAAGAACTGATTAGTTTTTGATTATTAAATGCCTTCCCTCCCTAGAACTATCTGTTCTTTTTCAGGATGTGATACTGTTCACTCTGTGACTTGTTTATATTAGGAGGTCCCATCGGGGGAAATATTTAGTTATCTGTATGACTGATAAATTGATTGACATGCGTTTTTAAAAATATATACTAGTCAGTAGACTAAGAGAGATAGTAGAGGTTATAACAAGACTGAGCGTTACTCAGAAACAAAATTGAATGAAATACGTAGTACAGACATTTCAAACGCACATATTTGTAGTACTTATAAACTGTAAATAAGCTTAATTTGCTAGTATTTAATTAGGTGAATGTCTTATTTTTTAGCATTGGCAGCTTTTTTAATTTTGTGATTTCAAAAATACCATAAGATACATGAAATATGATTGATTGATTATTGCCAAAAATTACGGTTTGGTGAATGATTTAAGAGAGCAACATCTTTGAACATAACTTTTAGTATATTCTGACCATGAATATAACACTGTTTATGAAAATAATATTTTATTGAGAGAAAAATTGAAATCGTTATTATCTTGGGGGCCCTCATTTGATGAGGAATGTTGTATTTATGGTGAGATAATTGTCGTAAAATATAGGACTGTCATAATTCACTTAAATCATGCTATACCATACCAACTTGTTCAGAATTGACGAATCAAAAAAAATTAAAGCAACTGCCAAAATATACTTTGCAATACTTAAAACATAAACGAATTAGTTTTAGAAGAACTGCTTCATTTAATTATAATACACTTTATAATTATTTTTAAATATAATTTTACCATTTGAAACAGTATTACATTTCAGGAAAGAATATAACGGAGATTATAGGTGAAAGAATGGCAAAACTCTGTCATAAAATAATTTAAAAAAGACGGACTTGAATTTAATTACCATTTGTAAATATTGATTTATAAATTGACAATTTCTCTATTTGTGAAAGATGTGTCTGTTTTCTTGAAAATTCCCATTTTCCGGAAAATGACTTCAAATAAAGTTCATCGTAGAAACCTGACTAGAACTGAGTTGTGTACATATCTTCATTGCAGTGACAGTGTTTGTTTCCACGTCATTGGCGATGGTGAACAATGATTTCCAAGTCCCTGCCGTTGGACTGCGACTTGTTTATATTCATTCGAGTAACTATGTGTCCCTGAGACGTTTGGGTATCCGGGATTGACAAGGTCTGGCCAAAGTTTGCACGCTATATCTACTTAATCTATAACTGAAACCGTTACCAACAACTGAATTAACTATTTGTAAAAACGAATAGTTTTGAGCAATGGCCTCCAGTCACACGGTATCATCCTTACTGACTTAACCTAAATTTTGCAAATATTCAAAAACTCACTCACATGTTAACTCGTACATATGTTGAATATTATCTGGCTATAATTTTACTTCATATGCCATACCTTTTCGGAAAAATTGAAGATATTTACAAGTCCATGCTTTTACATGTCGTAGAATAATGGATATATAAATCAGCAAAATTCATCCTTAGATCTTTTGGCCTTTTAATAATTTAATTTTTGGGATATTTCGCTAAAGTCCCCCATTGGCCGCCATTATAAACTTTGAAAAAAATTCAAATCATCATCATTTCATATCATGCGTTAATGAGGCTCTATGTCATAGGATAGCACAATCAAGACCCCCCTGGACTCTTGCATATTGAGTTTCACCACATATTCACCCATCTACTTACCAAAGAAGGAGTCCCTAGTTCCCCTCTTTCAGTGTTAATTTTGCGATCGTGCTGGCCGATCTAATTATTTTCGCAGTAATTAATTCAATCTGAAGTTTGAATATACCGGGAAAGTTCTCCTGTTATCTGATTGGTCGTTGAATTTGCTGCCTGGTTCAAGGCGCTTGTGGGCGCTTGTGTGACTCAATGGGGATTCCCCTCGCTAGCCGAGGAATCGATTACGTTTAATTCTGGAGGTTGGGTTTGTAGAAAAAAACCGGGTACCGGGTTGTAAATCCTCCATGCTGGGTTCAAACTTGGTACCCGTTACCCGGTCGAAAAAACCGGGTACCCCAAAAAAAGAAAAATACGAATATATAACATAAATAGAACATTAGAAAACGTGTAAGACTTGTTTTGAATATACAAAAATTGAAAAATGTATGTAACTTCCTTCAAAATTGAGCTAGAAGCTTCAAATAAAAAGCATTTTATGACCACACTGATGATAGACGAAAGGAATCAATTTCGTCCTGTGTCATCATGGTCATATTTCCATTGGTTATGGGGGGGGGGGGTGTTGCGATCGCACCATCGCTACGCCTATGACATCGTAAGACGTAACAATTTAACTCAGTGAACGTTTCGTCGAAAATTGGGATAACTTAAATTATGATTAATAATCAAAATCTTATACGTTGCATCATGTAAATTGACACACGTCACCTCTCTGCTAAAGTAACGATAGCTATTTACAGATTTAAATCATAATCAAAACAATTCACGTACCAATATACGAACTATTGAAGAAAGAGTAAGATTGATTTGTCGTTTTTCAAATCGTCTTACAATGTCATAGGCGTAGCCAGGAGGGGGTTCGATGGTGCGATCGCACCCCCCCCATAACCAATGAAAATATGACCACATCGATGATACACGAAAAGAGCCTTAAAATGCTTTTTATTTGAAGCTTCTAGCTCAATTTTGAAGGAAGTTACATACATTTTTGTAAATTCAAAACAAATCTTACACGTTTTCTAATGATCTATAATTATGTTATATATTCGTATTTTTCGTTTTTTGGGTACCCGGTTTTTTCGACCGAGTACCGGGTACCAAGTTTGAACCCAGCATGGAGGATTTACTACCCGGTACCCGTTTTTTTCTACAAACCCTCTGGAGGTTGGTTGTTCTGTTGATCATTTCCATATTTCGGCAATAATATACCGAAAAGTTATTCTCAAGATATATCCATGGTATGTGAGATATTATATGAGCAATAACAATTGGACATCATTGATTGTCTGGGAAACATATGGTATAATGCATCTTTAAGTGATCTAAACAACTCAAATCGCTTAGGATTCAACGGATTCTAAGAGATCAAAGCTAATACAATATGTTGACAACAACTCCCGTTTCAATATTTGCTGCATAATATAATTATAATTATAATTATAATGTCAATATTTTGATTTTCGACAATTAATGACGTACTTGGATCCGAGATTCATTGTCCCGGGATTCATAGCACTATTTCCATTATTCTACGCCATGACTAGATCATAATGGATTTATTAATGACTAGGATTATATCTGGTAACAGCATTATTTCTTCAGGGTGATTTGACGCATGCGCAGAACTAGCTCATGTAACCTATTTTTGTCAAAGTACTACGTTAGAATTACAATCAAACTTAGCTTTTAACTTTTAAGTCTCACTTAATCACTGGTACTCACCTAGTAACGCTGACGATACGTCAGCGTAACAAGATGGAAGAACTTCCGGGTTTCGTTTTCGGTAAGATATTTTTATTTCTCGATTCTACACCACTTGTGTTGTGGACAATAATTTGGCTCAAAGTTGAGGAAGGTAGTCTAGTTTTAGAATATGCAGGCGGTTCTATGTTTGGTATATCAACGAAGACGCAATTTACATATTTAGTCCCTCGCTTTTGTTACGTTGACGGTCTCCATGAATATTGCCAATGTGACTATCACCAGTAGATGACGCTGGAAGTTACTGTGGTATACTTAACAAAAGAAATGTTTAATTGAATTTAATAGTACTATATATTGAATCAATGTAATCATTTTCTGTACATTATGATTTGGCTGAACTGACATAAAAATAGACATGTAAAAATAAAATCTTTCGTACAAATTACTTTCTGAGAATGTTGAAGAAAAATTATAGTTGATAGCAGGCTAAATAAATAGTATGTATGCATTATTGCCAAAGGGAAAACACTGAAAAGTGTTACAAAACATAGCAAGAAAATGTAACATCCAAGAGTACAGCCAGTCATAAGGGAAAACAAACCCCAAATTGCAATTCAATAATCGAACTTAAAAAAAGAAACAATATCCCTTCCCCCACCATTCAGGAACCATCATCGAAATCCAAAGCCACAAGACCAAGGAATATTTCATTTATACTGAAAACCAATAAGATACATGTTGAAGAAAACATGTAATTACATACTTTAGTGTTTGACACATTTTCCCTCGGCGAGGTGTAAATAAAACTGAAATTGCGCGCTTTGAAACATTAGCTACCCTGTGTTTATTTCATAAAATATACATGTATGTTATTATTACCACCTTGCCAGGCCAGTTCTATGGGTTTTAGTGCTAGTTTAGAAGGCATTCATAAGAGGAGGGAAAACCCCATGATTCAATTGATGACATACGATTTCCTCCTTCGCGCACCTCCTTTCCCGGAAGTACGTATATTTATACTTCCCTCCATCTTGGTTTTCAAAGTTTTCAAATTGACCTAGTTTTAAACCAATCAACGATCGACTCGCTAAACCAATCAGCGACGATGTCATCTCAATACAGATTTACATCATCTTTGAACCCTGGGGTTTCTCCCCCTCTTGCATTCGGACCTCGGTCCAATATTTCACAATATTGCCCTTCGAAATGACGTTATTATTGTTCTATTAGTCAACGATGAATAAATATGAGATACATCTCAGAGTTCAAATTGAAATAAATCATTAATAATGATTTTGAAGTTAGTTCTTGATATATTTAGAATAGAGCCACATCTTCAACTTGTTTCTGCGGTAAGTATCTGTTAAGTCTTTGTTTAGACCGGAAAATAACCAGGGCGCCACACAGGAACACGAAGCCAGTAATGATGAGAGCTCCTATCACTGCATGCTCTAAAGCTGAAAACAAAATGATTTCATTTCACATCAATTTTGCTATTTCATCAGGCTAATCTCGATAAAAGCTCTTTAACATCCGATCGCGACATGGTCTTACGATTTATTTCTACGTGTATTGTAAAATACACCACAGTCACATTTCCTACGGCGACAGTGCGGTTTGTCATTTCTGCGGTCGTAATATTTCTACGCTAGCCGTAGAATTTCTGCGGTCGGATAATTATGCAGTCACATTTCCTACGTCTGCCGCACGGCGAATTTTGAATTTCTGTTGATAAACGTTAATGTTTAGCCTATTTCTATTTAATTTAAATCAGTATAATTTATAAATGTTATTTAAGCATTGGACTTGCTTCTTCGAACTTTTTGTTGGTATTAAATTCTTACTTTTTTCGTCACAAAGAAGGGTACATGTAGCGGTGTTAGTATCAAGCCTTAGTCCAGCAGGGCATCTTTTCGTGACACCGGAACCAAGGTAGCAGACGACGTACTCCTCGCATGGTAAGCCTTGTATCAGGTGATATGTCTTGAACCTTCGTATGTAGCGGTTATACTCCTGACCACAGAAACCTTAAGAACATTTAATTTCTTATATGTTTTCATTTACTTTTCATTTGTGTTATTTTCAGTTTATACAATGTACAATAAGCTATTGTTGTAACCAGCTGAGACATATTAAGTAATTCTCTAGAAAAGTATAGATAAATTATAAACTTACATTTTAATTAAAGAAACTAATACTAAAATAGTTCTTTGGTCAAATTGTTTAATAGTTTTAATTCAAATCCCTCAGGATATACCCAATATCCAAAACCTCCCAGTATAAAACCCTTATATATTTATTTAATGAGCTTACCTTCGATATTGACTTGATGCATAGCCACTTGCATTGCATGAACTGACCCTGCTGCACCCTTCATTCCCTTTGCGCCGGGCATTCCCTTGCTTCCAAATTCTCCCTGTATTCCTTTTTGTCCTTCAGTCCCGGGTAGTCCCGTTGGTCCAACCGTTCCGGGTGGTCCAGACTCTCCCTTTGTGCCCTGAACCGAATTTCCTGTTCCAGGTGGACCGCCTGTTCCAATGGTTCCTGGTGGACCCGATGTCCCAGGTGGACCTCCAGTATATGGCCCACTTGTTCCTGGTGGACCTATGGTACCAGGTGGACCTACCGTACCAGGTGGGCCTTCGGTACCAGGAGGACCTCCTGATCCGGGCGGACCATTTGTTCCTGGGGGACCAACCGTTCCTGGTGGACCACTTGTGCCTGGTGGACCGACTGTTCCTGGTGGACCCCCTGTTCCTGGTGGACCTCCTGTTGCTGTAAGTCCAGGTGGACCACCGGTACCTGGAGGTCCACCTGTTCCTGGTGGTCCAACTGTTCCCGGTGGTCCAATTGTTCCTGGTGGACCACTTGTTCCAGGTGGTCCACCAGTTCCGGGTGGACCTCCTGTTGCAGGCGGTCCCCCAGTTCCAGGTGGTCCTCCTGTTCCAGGAGGACCTACAGTTCCAGGTGGACCGACAGTTCCTGGTGGACCCCCTGTGCCGGGAGGTCCCCCCGTCGCTGGTGGACCACCTGTAGCTGGAGGACCACCTGTACCAGGTGGTCCTCCTGTGCCAGGTGGGCCGACAGTTCCTGGTGGACCCCCTGTTCCGGGTGGACCCCCAGTTCCAGGGGGTCCTCCTGTTGCGGGGGGACCTCCTGTTCCTGGTGGTCCTCCTGTTCCTGGGGGACCACCTGTACCAGGAGGACCCGATGTTCCTGGTGGACCTTCTGTTCCTGGTGGACCAACTGTTCCTGGTGGACCGCCAGTTCCGGGTGGACCTCCTGTTGCAGGTGGCCCTCCTGTTGCAGGTGGTCCACCTGTTCCGGGAGGGCCGAATGTTCCATAATTAAGCGTCCCCTGTGGACCCTTTAATCCCGGTGGTCCGCCTGTACCCGGTGGGCCATCTGGAAGTCAACATTCAGAAAAAAGAGAAATGAATCAAGGGGTAACATTTTTGGATTAATATGTATATTTACTACCTTGTCCATTAACATTTTTAGCACAGACTGGTAAGCGGCATTACGATCAAGTTGAGCCTACGTACATTTAAACACTATCAATTTGGAATTGAAGCGAGGCATTTATTGTACTTTTGTGGTTTGCTCTTTAGCCATATAAGGACGCGTTGTCTCTCTTCATTATAAAAGTGTTATTCTACTTTGTTTTGGTGAAACCCGCTACCTTACATTTAAACTTATGTTCATGTTCTTAGACAGATAGGTTCTTTTTATTCTCTACATAGAACAGTATAGTGAATCATTTGCCAGTAATAAAGAAATAAAGAAATACGCGTACCTGCATTGCACGTCGCATCAACGACACACTTGTCTCCTCCTGATACAAGATCAACTTTATAACCAGAAGGGCACGTTTGCAGAGTATCAGCAATAATAGTGGAACACGCATAGTACTGTCCACAATTGCTTGTGTCATCAACTGCACTATTACTAGTACCACACGCCGCTGAAATTAAACAATTTAAAGTAATGTATGTGAAATATAATAGCTGACATTTGCTTTCCCGATCTTCATCATATGTTTAACAGTATTCAATCAGCCTATAGTCACTGTTCCACAACTAGTTACTTTGACGGAACGTCAATGTCACAAAATGGATGAACTCCCTGGTTACGAGTTTTTGTTTTCTCGATTTAAATCTTTAAATAAGTTTCTTCGATTTGGAATTTGTCTTGTAAATGAAGTTGCAATTCATATATTTAGCCCCTAGCTCTCGTTACATTGACGAAAGACCGTTATATTACCAATGTACGTCAATGTAACAAAAGCGATGATCAAAATGCATGAATTACAGCTGTATTTAAAAATCAAATTCCAAAACAGAGAGCTAGACTATGTTGTCTAACGTTGTGCCAAATGATAATACACAGCATGACTTATACGTAAGTTTAAATCGAGAAAAAATATCGTATCCAGGAAGTTTATCCATTTTGACGTTCCGTCAAATTAACTAGTTGTGGAGCAGTGATAGTGGAGCTATTTATGGGAATAAAAACATGATAGAATTGCACATTCTATATGTACAGTATATGTATGTAAAGCACTATTTTTAACTTAAGAATCATTAATACGTAATATATTTTTAATATCTACCGATGTGGTGTTGAAAAGTGGACCCAGTGGATATAAGTGCTGCAGCATTTTTATTGCCAATTGTAAACCGAAGCGCAATCACACTCACCAGTAGCGGCAGCCTGGTCATATCCTACCACGGTGCATCCGGCTGCCAGGTCAGCAGTGGTGCATGTGTTGGCTTCTGTTTGAGTCACAATCGCACATAGAAGTAGTGCACATAGCAAAGTTCTGCGAAACATCTGACTGAAAGACGATCGTCTGTCTAATCATATATTAATTCACATATAGTTTTGACATAAGTTCTTCCAAAAATTCAAAATAGTCACCACTTTTATCACAGCAAAGTTTCAGAAGTATTTTAAGTCCTATTAAACGAACTGCACCAACGTAGTGATACTCAGGGGACCCCAGTAGAACACAGTCGATGTTTCTGTGAGAAAAGGAAGGCTCATAATGATATTCATTCTTTCAATTGCAAATAACTTTGCACGTTTCCGGTTGTACGAAGTGTAATAGAATGAGATGTGGATTCTATCGTTACTTCCTACATCATGATCAATCCCCCAAAATGAACAGAATTAAACTATTTTTAGTTGACAGTTGATACATAAGGTAGAGAATCTCACCTCACGATCGGTGTGTATATATTCCTTTAAGTACAATTCTATACATAACTTACCTAATTAAATCCAATCCATCAGCTTAGTATTTAAGATGATTTTTATTATGATGTCCACTATGGACCCTACTTGCAAAAGAATCTATATGCATGTAATACTGGCATTTATTTAATAAACTATCATTGCACCATTAACATCAATTATAAAAAATTATAAATTAGAATATTGCCAAGGGGTGTTTAGGATGGACACTTTGTTTATTAGTTGCATATTAATAACTGTTTCAATTTGCACTCTTCCGTTGATTAATGCGTGATGATTGAATGCAATCAAAATACGTTGACAGTACGTTTATATTGAAAAAAATCCCTCCTCAAAAATCGTATTCTCCTGTTTGTCTCTGATATTGAAATCGTAATACTAATAGATTTTGGATGACATTTCGTTGTACTCACATCATATATAAGTAAATACTTTTTATTCATAAAGACCAATGGTCGGATTACCCCGCGGATTACATGACCTGAGTTGATTGTTTGATATCCTGCAAGCGGCAACTCTACTTTCAAAAGCTGCTCACGTTATTGTTTGTGTTTCTAATGTTTAATGTTAAAGAAAGATGACCAAGAAGTGTTTCTATGGTTGGCCTATTAGTATAAAGAATACATGCGTTGTTTACGGGTGTGTAGGCGTTAATTACGCCCGTGTAGGCGTTAATTACGCCTGTGTAGGCGTTAATTACGCCCGTCAAAGCGTTAATTACGCCCGTTAAGAAGTGAATTCTATACGCGTTAAAACAAATACAGGCGTAAACTAACGGCGTCAAAATGTTCAATAGCGGGCGTCAAGACAGTATCTAACACCCGTTGAAAAACATCTATACGCCCGTCGAGTTCATTTTAGCGCCGTGAATTATGAACCAATCAGCATCTTGCTTACATGATGACACGATGCATTATAGCTAAAAGTACAACTCCAAGATCCTTGTGCAAGTTAATAACATACTCATGATTGTGCCAGGAACAACTGTTGCAATTGGAGGCATATGAAATATTATTTCTTTTCTGGGTATCTCGGTGCACTATTTGTGCAAATGTGAAAGATGTACATCGTATATTAAATGAGTTATGTATTCCTGGAAATAACATGTGACATATAAAGACGGCTGCTTTAAAAGATTCCAAAAAGTACACATCTCCCTAACACCAAATTTGAACATATGTTGGCTAGGTATACTAGGTATATAGGCTCATTTGACATTTTCAGTACATTTTCAAAAAATGCCACATCTGCAGGATATAGTCTAGAGTCAATTTGCAGTTGATCAGATACTATAATTCTAGTATCTGGACACATCCTTTAGAGGGATACACTAGCGATCTGACTGTATAATGAGACTGTAAGCTGCAATGCGTGTGAGCTTAATAAGTCCCTACCTAGCCTACCTCTGAAGCCGACGCCTAGATTGGAGAATTATCCAAAAATCATCGTATTTAGAAACCAAACATGTATACCTTCTCAAAATATTCTGCAATTTTGTCGTTTCTACAATGGGTGTTGATAACTGCCAACACAGTACACGTCTCTTCAATTTGCCTTTTAATATGATTTACTAAAAAATCTCTTTGGTTAAATCTAGTTCAATCTTGAACGAATATTTAAGGACCTCAATGCAACACACTAAAATGTAAGCAGGCTTCTGATTGTTGTTTACAAGTGCAAGTATCTCGGAGTTGCTCTTTTAGCAAGGATGCATTAAATCATCATGTAAGTAAGGTTCTGATTGGTTTATAATTTACGGCGCTAAAAATAAACTCCACGGGCGTGAAGATGTTTCTCAGCGCGTGTAAAATAACAGTCTTAACGCCCGTAATTAATAATTTAAACGCCGTAAGTTCACGCCTGTAAATGTATTCTGAACGCCCGTAGAATTTACTTCTTCACGGGCGTAATTTACGCCTACACAGGCGTAATTTTACGTCAGCACGGGCGTAATTTTACATCTACACGAGCGTAATTAACGCCTACACACCCGTAAACAACGCATGCATTCTTTATACTAATAGGCCAACCATATGTTTCACCCACTATCACGGGGTACCAACTATACGGGACGTATCGAAACCACTACGTCCCGCAATAACCGTTAATTTGAATTTTCAACCTACCAGATGTTTGAAAATCAAGGATTATGAGTCTCATACTGCACCGTTTTTCTTCAAAGTTGTGCCATTAAAAGCAGAACAAAAATGCCTCTCTATCGGTGCATACCTTTAGTGTACAAAGTTCCTCGTTCTAGCGGCGTTTTGGTCCCCAGCTGTGAGATCAAGCAAATTTTCATAGCTCTAAACTATAAGTCTAGTTTTTTCGCCAATCGTTTACTCATTCTCGCCCATAATTCCAGAATTGACCCCCATTACAACCCCCCAGAGCGACGTCTTCATGTTTGGGCCGATAATTTATTCATGTTGAAAGACATGTTTACAACATATGCCATTGGAGCTTTTTGATCATACAACTGAAGTTTACGTTTATAAGACGTTATGAAATTCAGTGGCCGATACATATCCAAGTATAGTCCAGATACTTGATTGTTTGTTCTAGTTACAAGTATTAATTTTATATTTATTTATTGCATTACCACAAATACAATGTACATGGGTATAGCTAAAATCTACAATATAAGATGATAAAACAAACTACTACAATACTACACTGTTTAAATAAGGGTGTATATAATACAATAAAATACATGAACTTTGAGAAGTTTGTTTGACACTAGTTTGGAAGATTATGTACTTAAATGGTTTCATTGATTCTTTTCTGATAGCATGTATTGATGAAGTTGAGTATATCAATTAGTTTTATATTGCATGATAAATGTGAATTTTTTAGCATTGTCTAACGTGGTGAAAGATGGACGCGATTTTTGGATTGATGAGTACCTTTCATTGGCATATAATTTACATTGTGTCACAAAGTGCATTTCATCTTCCACACTATTATCATTACAATATACACATTTTCGTTCTGTGACTGTTTTATTTTTCAATCTACCATCTTCAATTTCAAGGCAGTGATTGCTTAGTCTAAATTTAGTAAAAACTTGTCTAAGTTGAAGTGAAACATTTTCAGTTAAGTACTTTTCAGGAGCAAATGAATGCTTAAAGGTGTCATAAGTTCTGAGTTTTCCCTGTGCATACTTCTGGGATGTGCTGTTAGGAAGACGCATTTTCCATTCTTTTTTGAAGTTATTTGCAATTTTGCTCTTAATTCTAGTGATAAGCAAGTTTTTAGACGATACAGTGTTAGGTATTTTTATATTTGTTACATCCATATCTACACTCTTTAATATTTGTTTGATTGCCTTATACCACTGTGAATTATTTAGTTTTGCATTCTGAAATATTTTATAAAGTAAACGCTGCTTAGGCAAAGTTTCTAAATGAAGCCAATATTTCAACATAGCTATTTGTATATCATATTTATTTGAAATCTACCTAGCTCTCCCAAGACTCCGAGATTGGGGCATTTAGTAGAGACATTTAGAGACCATTTACAACATTGCAGAAATAGTTTTTCTTTGCAATCATTGAGTTGAAATAAATTTGTTTGGGGGTTATCAATGAGGCCCCATACCTCACTGCCATATGTAATAATGGGCTTAATACAAGAGTCAAATAAGTGCAAGATTAAATTTATCGATTTTATGCTGTTAGAGTATAGAGTGTGCTTAAGGTGAAACCAAGCTTTTTGAGCCTTAAGTACAAGAATCCTTTTCGTATTTTGAGTTATACCAGAGTTATTCCTAGATAAGTAAAAGATGAGACATAATCAAGTTTTGAGTTACCACACTTAATAGAAGGGAATTTTTTATTTCCAGTGTAAAGGATTTTTGATTTTTAATGCTTATTTGTAATTTCCATTCAGCACAATATGACTCAAGTTTGTTAATGTTATTTTGCATCTCTATGAATAATAGGGTATTAATAGTCATTTTGGAGTCAACTTTGTATCCATATTTAGCATCATCTCCAAGAACATCTACAACATCATTAATGAAAATGTTGAAAAGGATTGGACTAAGTCCATCACCTTGTTTTACGCCTACTGTAGAGGGGAAAAAAATAGGTGGTTCCATTTGACAGAGATACACAAGATTGTAATTTAGAAGTCTCTTGGTGTTCATTTGATGGGGGATTGGTATTTTCAACATATTATTGTCTCTCTTCTGAGTTAGGTATTACAGAGTAATTCGCTTCTCTTCCCTCCTCTCCTTTATACATGGATTTCACCGTTCTGTTAAATTTTCCACCAAGACCAATTTTTAGAAGTTTTAGCATGAGACCATCGTGATTCACAGTGTCAAATGCCTTTTTTAGGTCAATGAGAGCTAAAAATAAAGGTATTTTCCGTTGTTTTAGATCTGACATAATGTGGGATAAGATGAAGAGGTTGTCTGTGGTTCTAAATTTTGGGAGAAAGTCGGCTTGGTTCTGATGAAGTTTTTCTTCACTAGTTAGGTATTTGACAAGCCTTCCTTTCAAAATTGACGTGAAAAGTTTACCAAAACAACTTGTTAGGGTAATGCCTCTAAAATTGTTGGGATCTTTTTTACTTTCTTTTTTATGAATTGGAACAATGATACCTTTACTCCATATCTTTGGAAAATATAAAATAACAATTGTTCAAACATGTATTCAGTATTTTCATAATACATGGGACCATGTAATATTTTCCGTATTTTAGCATCTCATTTAGCAATAAATCAGGCCCTCTACTTTTACCATTCTTCATGGAGTTTATATTTTCATATATCTCTTTGTGGCTTATATTATAATCAAGTTTATTAATAGAGCTATTATCATTTTCTAACTTTGCTATCTGTGACATTAAATTGTTGTCATCCGTTGATGAATTCAGTTTTTTAAAATATTCATGCCACTGCCTAGCAGACACATATTCGGTATCATTTGTTTGCTTTTTTGGTTTCAATTATTTAACTAGATTCCAATAAGATTTTGGATTATTAGATTTAAGTGTTTCCAATTGTTTTATAACGCCATCTTTAAATTTACGTTCTTTCTGTTTAATGAGTTTCCTATAGGTTGACCTGAATTTATAGTACACTTCCCTGTTAATTCTAGAGTTAGGGTATTTTACCAT